CAAGTTCTAGCCGATTTCATCATCGAGCTTCCCCCAGAACTCGAGCAGGATCTTGTCTCGCCAACAGGCATTTGGATACTACATGTCGACGGCTCATCCTCGACGAAAGGATCCGGAATCGGCGTCCAGCTGCAATCGCCAACGGGCGAATTGATTCGCCAATCATTTCGACTAGATTTCAAAGCATCCAACAATGAAGCAGAGTATGAATCTCTCATTGCCGGCCTACGCCTCGCCGAAGCTGTTGGTGCCAAACGAGTCCATGCATACTGCGATTCTCAGTTAGTCGCTAATCAGTTCAACGGAGACTACGACGCAAAGAACGACCGAATGGATGCGTATCTCCGCATAGTTCAGGACCTCGCCCAAGGATTCGACTCTTTTGAACTAACAAAAATTCCTCGCGGGGAGAACGTTTGCGCGGACGTAGCCGCACTCGGAAGTAACCCCCACGAACAGGTAAGCCGGACGATACCCATTCAGCATATCGACCGACCGAGCATTTCGCCTCCCTCGGAGGAAAGCGCAATCGTATCGTCGATCGTCAACACAGGCAATATGGAAATCGACGAATCAACTGACGACACGAACGCGCAGCCCCCCGATTGGAGGATCCCTTTCCTCGACTATTTAATTAGAGGAACGCTACCGACAGAAAAATGGGAAGCACGCCGACTGAAGGCTAAATGCTCGAACTACGTCGTAATGGAAGGAAAACTTTATCGCAGAACAGCCAATAACGTCCTCCTCACATGTATCCATGGCGACGAAACTCGCCTGGTCATGGCCGAAACCCAAGATGGAGCAGGTGGAAATCACTTTAGCGGACGCGGACTAGTCCTCAAGATTAAAGGTCTGGGACACTTCTGGCCGACCATGGTCTCTGACTGCGAAGCTTACGCTCGAAAGTGCGATCAATGTCAACGACATGCTTCGAACATCCATTCGCCCACCGAGCTGTTGCGAACGACAACAGCGCCGTACCCATTTATGCGATGGGGAATGGATATCGTTGGTCCCTTACCCAACTCCAGGCAACGTAGATTCGTCCTCGTAATGACGGATTATTTCACCAAGTGGGTAGAGGCCGAAGCTTTCGTCCACGTAACCGATAAAGAAGTTCAACACTTCGTATGGAAGAACATCATATGCCGACACGGTCTCCCGTACGAAATAATCACCGACAACGGCTCCCAGTTCATTTCGCACAACTTTCGCAGCTTCTGCGATAGATGGGCAATCCGTCTTAACACATCGACCCCCCGTTATCCACAGGGTAATGGACAAGCCAAAGCAACAAATAAGACGATCATCGACGGAATCAAGAAACGCCTCGATCTCAAGAAAGGACATTGGGCAGACGAACTCGATGGAGTCCTTTGGTCACACCGAACGACTCCACGTAGTGCGACGGGTCAAACACCCTTCTCCTTAGCTTACGGAGTTGAAGCAATGGCCCCAGCGGAAGTCAATGTCACCAGTTTACGCCGAGCAAAGA